AGAAAAACTGAAGCAGTTGAAGGAGTGTCTATTGCAAAAATGTCACCCACTCCAGAATTGCTATTTCTTCTAATATTTTAATATTTTGAAACAGGTCTAAAAGAAATTGATAACTGTGCGACTAGGGAAACCTCTGATATTCTCTGCACAGCCAACTCTGTTTTTCATCCATCACTGGCATTCCTATTTTATGAGGCCCTCTTGAAATTTTAAAAAACTACCATCATCTTGAAAATGGTATTTCCAAGTAAATATTTGACTGGAAAAAAGTTGCAGAACTTTGGGCACAGATCAAGTTTCTCTGGCATTTGGCTGTCCATTTGTTTTTGCTGCTTTTGAAAAGAAGGTCCAGGAGTCAATCTGACTGATAGCTTTCTGTATCAGCGGGCCTGGGTGCCAAATGCTCTGCCGCTGATATTGAATGAAGGCTTGCCTAATGCTGTGAGAAGCATCAGCTTCATCAGGGCCAGGAAGGGGGCTGAATCATTTTTTTAGGATCTTTTATCAAGAAATGGGAACAGAAAGAGAGCAATTCTTTGCTTACTAAAGATTGGCTGGATTTGCAGAGGAAAGTCTTCAAGAGCTAGATTAAACTTTGGGCAAAAATTTTACTTTTTTTTAAATAGAAAAGGAACCTCTACTCTCTCATGGTTTAGCAGATTTGGACAGTATTTTTGGCCATATCTTTTGGTTAAAGCCCTCAATCAACATCACGCATGCTGCTCAAGAATGGAAGGGTCCTGCTCTGTAAGAGATAGGTCACTAGGAGTTCAGTGTTCCTCTAACACTGAAGGAAAGACCTTTTGGAGTTAAAGGGACCAAACTTCTTTCCAAGTTCTCTGCAGTCTGAAGCAAACATGTGCCAAATGCTTAAAGGCTACTTCTGATCAAGAGAATCTTAAGACTGAAATGCGGATTTATAACCCAAAATGTGGTGATATGGATGAACATCAATGGCTTGGACTTTGCCAAAGATAATAACCTCAGTGAACTAGGACAGAGGAAATTATTCACAATGAATTCAACTGTTTCTCAACTCAAGCCTACCCTCATCTGCAAAGTGTGCTAAAGAGCTTGGCCTTCATTTGCTATGGCGTGCTTTTTCAAGCCAGGGCTTACGACACATTTGCCACTCAAACACAACAAAACAAATATCAAGACTGATTGGATGTCAAGCGTGATGCATGTGTTGTCATATCAAATCCATTCAAAACTTTGTCCTACTTCTTCAAGGAAAACCTCAACAGCCTTCACATTCAAAGCTGACGATAAGCTGAACTGAGGTTCAAGTCTTGCTTTGCTTGGAAATTTTTGTTTGATTTCCTTTTTTATCATAAAGTATTATCATAATGTATTAGTTTTTACATTAAAAATGTGTGAGAGAGGCATACGTCTGTAATGAATGTTTTTCATATTTTTCTATGTGAAATCAAGAGAAGGCTGAGACTCAAAAGGACAGCCATGGAAGAATTAGGAACAATCATCAAGAGCAAAGATGTGTCATTAGAGGCCAAGGCTGAGATCATCCACACCTTGTATTCTCAGTTACTACGTACGGATGCGAAAGTTGGACAGTGAAGAAGGCTGATAGGAAAAAAATGAATTTATTTGAAATATGGTTTTGGAGGAGAACTCTATGGATACCCTGGATCTCCAGAAAGATGAACAAGTGGGTACTGGAGCACATTAAGCCTGAGATACCACTGGAGGCAAAGATGGCAAAACTGAAGCTGTCATACTTCAGGCACATCATGAGAAGGCAGGGGTCTTTGGAAAAGACAATAGTGCTGGGGAAATGGAAGGCAGCAGGAAAAGAGGAAGATTAAATATGAGATGGAGGGCCGACCAAGTGGCTCAGTTGGTTAAGAGCTTGCTCAATAGTGTGAACTCTGAGCAACAGCGGTTCGATTTCTGGCCCTAGCTGAGCTGCTGCTGTTGGCAGGATGGCTCAGCTATAAATAAATAAATAAATAAATAAATAAATAAATAAATAAATAAATAAATAAATAGGAGATGGACTGACTCCATAAAAGAAGCCATAGGCTGTTGAGGACAGGGCATTTTGGACATCACTCATTCATAGGGTCACCAGGAGTCTCAGCTGACTCAACAGTATGTAACATACTCAATCGCACAGAAAAGAAAATGTAATCAATGTCTGATATCATAAAAATAAATACTATCTAAATTTTTGTGCATATGTTTAGGTACTTTTTTTCCTATAAGTTCACATCTTTCAGTCTCGAAGAGGTCTATGTAATTTGAAAACCTGGGGAAAAACCCACTCCTCTGATTTAGATATTAACCTTACATAACACATACAATCCTCTTATAACAAACAATTCAAGAATTATATGGAAGAAAAATCAAATCACAACATTTAGAAAACATAGATAAATATTTAACACATTTCAGGCTAAGAAAAAGCTTTCCGAACAAAAAAGCAAGAGAAAAATTTTAAACTATATAAAATGGTCATTTTCTAGCTCAATAATCTAATTTCAAATCATTTATATTTAAGGGAAAAATCCAAAATGTAGATAGATTTTATGAAGAAATTGTTCATTACAGTGTTACTGATTAAAAAAATAAAAGTCAATCTAAGTTATGGGAAAGGTTAAGTATATCAAGGTACAGACAAATGGTAGAATTTGCATAAATGAGTGAAGTGGGCCTGGATTGGGAGTTGAGATCAATGGAGGCTGGTGCTTTAAAGGGTGACTACTTCACCTAAGGATGATAGCAGCTGCTTGAGTCCCATCAGTTGTTGACTTTGTGGAAATGTAGGCCCTGTGTTGCCAGACTTTCCTATTTTTAAAAATATTTCAATTGGAAATAATTTCAAATTTATGAAAAGTTGCAAAAACAGGAAATAGTAAAAGAACACTTAAGCCCTTTACCAAAATTATTTGATTGTTAATATTTGACTCCATTTTTATTCTTTCTATACACACATAAACACACACATATATTTATTGTTCTGTAATAAAAATGTATATGAATGTATATATAAATATATGTACACATACACACATAATTTTTTTCTGAATCATTTGAAGGTATGTTACATGTGTCATAGCCCTTTACTCCTAAATACTCCATGTGTTTCCTAAGACTAGAAACTCCTATTTTTGAGGTAGGGCATCTGGAATGGGATAAAGAAGAAGGGAGAGCTCTAGGCGATGCGTCAGTCCCTGCCCGTTGCTGTAACACCAAATACAGGTGGGAAACTATTGAACTATTGGACAATTGCCATTCCATCAGTAAAAACAATATCTCGAAACTATGTACATTTATTTGTAAACTGGATATATGTACTAATCTGCTAATATATTATCTACCTTATAAAATCATATACTTTAAAAACAATAACAATATTTAAAATTAAATGCAAGTTTTAAAGTTTTCTTCCTTGAACCCTCTAAGGCAGCGGTTCTCAACCTTCCTAACGCCGCAACCCCTTAATACAGTTCCTCATGTTGTGGTGACCCCCAACCATAAAATGATTTTCGTTGCTACTCTATAACTGTAATTTTGCTACTGTTATGAATCGTAATGTAAGTATCTTTTTGTTTTCCGATGGCCTTAGGCGACCCCTATGAAAGGGTCGTTCGACCCCCAAAGGGGTTGCGACCCACAGGTTGAGAACCGCTGCTCTAAGGTGTGTGCCTTCCCGCTTTCAGTCACTGTTCTGTACTGTGGGCTAAACAGAAAAAGGCTCCCATCATTTCCCAAGCTGGGTCTGGGTTCTGCTCCCCAGACTGTATCTCCTCAGCATCTGCCAGCTGTCGCTATCACCCCTTGCTGTTTTATTGCCTTCAAAGTGCTCATCACTAGTGAAAGTTATTTTGCATATTTATGTGTTTATTTGTTTATTCCTCCCCTCCACTTAGAATATAAACTCCATGAGAGCCAGGATCTTGCATGTCTTGTTCATTCCTAATTCCTTCCCACTCAGAATAGCGCTTGGCACACAGTAGGTATTCATTAGACACTTATTATGCACAGCTGTTCCATGACTCACATTCCAGCTTTTTTCCCCCCTGCTTGGTCCTCCATTCTCCCAGCAAACCATGGGGTAGGTCACCTGACCCTCTGCAGGAAGAAAACAATACCCTAACCTACTTCTTAGAAAAGCTTCTCTGCATAAAGACCTCCTGTAGAGGGTGAGCTGCTGAGGACAGCCTTTCTCTTCAAGTAAAACACAGGCCCAGGAAATATAGACAATGGTATTGTAACAGCTATATAGGATGTCAGAGGGATAGTAGACTTGGAAGGGGGTGGGGGGGGGAGGGAGGCGAAGCTATCGCTTTGTGAGGGGCATAAATAATTACGTTGTTTTGTATACCTGAATATAAATTTTACACACACACACACACACACACACACACACACACACACATCGGGAGTGCCAAAAAAAATGTATACAAGTGGACACTTTGGTCAACGTTGCTCCAGCAGTAGTTTGCTGTAATCAGAAGTGTCTGGACACTGATGGTAACCACTTTGAGCACCTCTTGTAATTGCAGAAGTCAAATGTGACTTGTATTCATCTTTTGTTATCGGTATATATTATTACAATTTTAATACAGTTGTCCGTTTTTAAAATGTGTATACATTTTTTGGGCACCCTTTGTGTATATGTGTGTGTGTGTGTGTGTGTACAATTGCATAATAAAATATACATATACAGTAAAACACTGGATTGCGAGTAACTTGGTTTGCGAGTGTTTCGCAAGACGAGCAAACATTTCTAATACATTTTAACGTGGTAAACAAGTGATGTCTTGCAAGGCACTCGTATTTTGTTTCTGGAATGAATTATGCTCGCAAACTAAGGTATTACTGTATATAATTACAATATTTCTAAATGCATTTCTTTTGAAAAATCATTTATTTGGTAGCTGACTATTATTTTCACACAAAAGCCATCATTCTCACTCAATCAAGTCAAGCTGTTCTTGGGAGGAAAAAGAAAAAGTATCTGTCTTAGGAGGTACCTGATGGTTTTCCACACGTCGAAGCCATCCAGAGGTTTGGTACCATTTGTGCTTCCCCCAGCCAGCTTCACGAGAGTCGGCAGCCAGTCAGAAATGTGGATGAGCTCCCGGTTCTTCACACCCTTCTGTTTCAGCAAGGGGCTTGCCACAAAGCCCACCCCTCGAACGCCTCCTTCCCACAGGCTCCATTTTCTTCCTCGAAGGGGCCAGTTATTGCCCCCTGCCAAAGTCTGCCCTCCATTATCTGAAACACAATTAGGTGTTGGCATGAGGACAATGTTAACTATTAGATACATTTAAGAACAGAAGATTTCTACATATGTTGCTTCAAATGGTGCTTAAGAACTAAAAAAGATAACTCCTCTTACCCCCCTCCCATACCAACCACCCTTCTCTCTCCCGAAACGACCCTACCTCACCCAGACATAACTAGGGTGCAATGAGGCACAAATCTGACACGAGACCATTAAATCCTCCATGGATAGGGACACTGAAAAAATGAGGAAGGGCCCTGAGGGCAAATGCTTGGGATGGAGCCTAGTGCTAATCAATGAACTAGGTTTCAAGTGCATGTGTGCAACTTGGTGTGACGTAGGAGAATGCAGGTAGGCTGAGCCCTCCTGGTACATGAAAACCTTTGAGTGCGTTTCACTTAGTGACTTAAAGTTCCTGATAGAGGAGGACAGCAGATTTTTAATTTTCCTCCTGGAAAAACTGTCTAACATTTAAACTGGTAACTGAAGTAACATTCTACTCCCTGGTGATTTGAATTCTTTCGAAAGTGTGAAAGTTGAAGATTTCTCCAGTGGGCTAAATGTCTCTGTAAACAGAGCAGTTGGGTGGAAAATATAATTCCAAGAAAAATTCCTCCTTTCTCAACAGGATGGCAAGACAAAGCTTCATCATGTGCTGTGCCAGGGAAGAGAAGGGTTTTCTTCTCAGGCAACTAGAGAAATGCAGGACACTGGTGAAGCCAGAGAAGTTACAAGAGTGACTGGCTAAGGAAGTGTCTTACCAGATGGTTAGGGCTAAGAGTTAGGAATTAAGTTGGACCGTAGAAAGTAAAAAGTGCTAGCTCTTGTATAGTGAGATTGTAGAATCATATCATCTCCAAAAGTATCCATATACTGAGGTGACTTTAGAGATGACATTTTAAATAATGCTTATTTGCATGTTATTATACCTGAATTACACATTTTTTAAAAGCCACTGTTATCCAAATGAACCACATGAGGGCAGTATGACAGACTTACATAAAAAAAAAAATCTAACATAGATCAAGATCTATCAAAGCCACAGGAGACTCATGGAAGGAAAGAGAGCTAACATGTGTTAAGCACCTACTATGCACCACTTTAATTTCACATTACCTCTCACAGAATCTGTTGTCTGACAGATCTGGAATGAAAGTCTGATGCCACTCGCTAGCTATGCGACACAGGGCAATACACTGCCTCAGTTTCTTTACTTTTGATGTGGAGATAATAATTGCCACCTTATCTATCATGGTGAACATTCAGTGGCACCATTTATGATAATTGCTTGGCTGGGTACCTGAGCCTAAGCATTCAATAAGTGGTAGCTAATATTTACAACAAATAGTCTAGTATTAAAACCATTTTGTTGCTTTCAAAAAATGAGGTGTGAGAAGGCCAAACCAATAAGTGGCAAAGCTAGGATTCAAACAAGATGTGTGTGACTTCCCAGGCACCTTCTGCTCCCAGAGTGCCGTGTTCCTGATGCTCCTGATGTAGTTTTATACCGATGGGCCACATAGAGTTTCACTTCCCTATGAAAACCGTACACACGGTCAATCTCAGCAAAGTGTACATTCTTTCTATGATACGGCAGGAGAGCTATTTCAAGGTGACAATTCCCTTTAGAGGAGAACCACCTTCGTCATTGGTGGGTAAGACATTTAAGGCTCTTCTGCCATGGAGGCTTCTCATCAAGCCCTTAACACACCTCATTCTTCTCTGTGCTTTGCGAAGGGTAGGGAGAAGAGTCTTGAGTTACATTAGATGAAAGTAACAATTCTTCAACACACGGGTGGGTGACAGTCCCTCTCATTTGCTGTCACAGACTTACAGGAACCTCTCCTTAAACCTGACATCTCTTCTTGACAAAAAACCAAGGCCCAGTCCCCCAAGCCAGTGTATTAAATACACATTCTTACTCCACACAAGCAGACCTGTGTATTCAAAACAGTGGGCACCATCTTTAGACAGAGAGAATTCCTCCACGCTTCTTCGACTTCACAGAGCATCCATCATCCACAACCAACATATCAAAATTTAAAAGAAGGTGCTATTCAAGTGATACAAAAATACACTGGAAAGAAATGTTTACATTCTACCCGTGAGAACAAGAATGGCCGAGACAGCACTACTTTTACGCTGTTGTCTGGATTGTTATGATACTAGCTCAATGCTTGTAGAAAATGCCTGTTGTCTCCATTTTAAACAGATACACTTTTGAGATCTTATATAATATCTCTTTTAGTTGCACATATTTGTGAGTGCTCAATACAAAAATGTGAGATAGTGGTGGTGGAAATAAGAGTGGAGATGATGGGGAGAAGGCTGGCTGGGTCTGGAATCTGATTCTAGGAGCCGCCCATCAGGTATGACTCAGGAAAATACTCTCCAGCAGTTCTCAACCTTCCTAATGCCACGACCCCTTAATACAGTTCCTCATGTTGTGGTGACCCCCAACCATAAAATTATTTTCGTTGCTACTCTATAACTGTAATTTTGCTACTGTTATGAATCGTAATGTAAATATCTTTTTGTTTTCCAATGGTCTTAGGCGACCCCTGTGAAAGGGTCGTTCGACCCCCAAAGGGGTCGTGACCCACAGGTTGAGAACCGCTGCCTAGACTGTAAAGGGAATTTGGCCACGGTTGCTACTGTAGGAGCTGGAAAGTGTTTGCACATATTATTATTAGAGGACGGTGCCGATGCAGTGAGAGTGACTGCTTTTGCCATCAGCTCACTGTGATGTTTTTGTCATTAGCAATGATAAGCCATTGTATCATCTGTTATGGATACGGCTTTTTCCATCCTTTTCTCAAGAGCACTCGAGAGAGACAGCACTGGGAATGGACACATCTGCAACTTGTTCTCTTGGGCTCTGCAGTCACAGAGCCAACTGCAGACCCGGCTGCATGAAGAGGACAGTTCAGCATTGTGGGGAGGGGGGAGCAGGCAGCACCAAGCTGATGGTTGCCACCTATTAGTGGAGGGGCAGAATCCACCACAGACTTAGGTCTTCGAGAAATAGGGTGCTGTCCATCAGTTCCAGCACAGTCTCCCCAGTATTTCAAAGAGTTGGATATAAAACTCATCAGAATAATATCAAAAATCAAATAAGCTCATTTGAAACAAGGTAGAAAGGGGGGTTTCCTATATTGCTCACTTAAGTCTAACATAAACTAAAAGGGGTCAATTGTATGGTGAAAGACAGTAACTAGTTTTTGGTGGTGATTACTTTGTAGTGCAAACAGATGTTGAATTACAATGAAACATATAATGTCATATACCAATTTTATATTATATATGCATATACCAACTTACGTATTATTATATACCAATTTTACGTCAATAACATTTTTTTTTAAAAAGACAATGGAGCCACCACCATTTCAAACATGTTTCTTTTCATTTTCCCTCCTAATTTTCTTAGGACAAAAATTAATTTTTGTTCTTGTGAAGAATTAATTTTTGAGAGAAATTTTTATTTCCTTTCCTGACTGACTTGGGAAAAAAATTTCCAAATCAAAATAAGATGACTTCAACTAGCAAAGGGAACTATGAAACATTTTTTTTTCAGGGAAATAGCTTTTCAGCAATGTTTTTGGCAGAGGGAAAAGCTAATTATAAAACCTTTGCTGTCCAGAAAAGAAATGTCAAAATAAAACAAATGCTGTCATATACAGATGGTAAATCTCACTTTATTATTCATTATTGAACAAAAATAACTGTCAAAAAGTCATGGAAAAACATCGGTTAGCCAAAGATTTGAGCAAAAGCATGAAGTGCATGACAATGAAGCCTCATCCATATCCAGCTGATAAAAATTAAGATGGAACTGTGACAACAACATTAGTTTTTAGGACTACTCCCCAAATAATGTAATATCATGGCTTGGCTGTGGCTGGGTACCCTGAATCATCAGCATATATATCTCTATGTCACCGCCCCCCTTGAACCTGGGCTCACCCAGGACATCTCCTCACTCCGACTTGGGGATCACGGAAGGAAAAGCAAGGAAGGCTCCAGCAGCCTTGCACCAGGATCTGGACTTCCATCTGAACAGGGCCACCAATGCGAGTGTGACAGATGCGTAGACAACATGATTTCAATTACCCAGAAGCCTCTTTGTCTAAAAAAAGGACCTGCTTGCTGATGGTTGCTTCTTCTAGGCTAATTTTTTAAATGACTAAAATGTAAATTGGAGAGTTAACATGTGTCTTAGTAGTCATCTAAAGGATTAGATACACTCAATCTTCTCCTACTAAAATATTGTAGAGAAAATATCTACCCAGATACTCAATTTACAACCTGATGGTCTTCTCCTTCCTTCTTGTTCAACCATTTTGGATCGAATGTGCATTCATTTCTGCCAAGTGCATCCTTCCAATCCAGCCCCACTGCCTTGGGTCTGACATTCCTCTCACCTGGTCTCCTAAGGTACCTTACAGACTGCTTCATGTGGCTGTTACAGGCATCTTGGTGAAGCCCCAAACCAAGCAGGCCACATCCGTGTTTAAAGACCTCTGATTGTTTGCCAATCAGGAAAACGTTCAAACTTCTGCCCCACACACAGAATCCTTCACATCTGGGCCAACCTACTTTTGGAACATCAGCTCCTGCCCTTCTTCATAAGAAGCACCCTGTGCTCAGTCATACAGAACTAACGTCTCCCTGTTATTATTACATGTTCATGCTGACTTCGCCTTTGTACATGTTGGTGCCTTTGCCTAAAATGCTCTCCCCCTTCTTTTCTGCCTGACTTAAATTTTAAGTCCCAGGTTAAATGTTACATCTTCTGTGAAGTTTTCGCTTACTCCTCTGCCAGTCTTTACCTTTCCTCTGTACTCCTGCTGCACTTTATATGCATTTCTCTATCACACTTATCTTGGTATCTTATACACACACTAATCGCACTTATCTCTGTATATTAATTAGTTGTTCATGGGTTTGTCTTCCTCCCTAGCTCTGCATCTCAAGAGCAAGAACAATG